ATAGATGGTGGGACTTGCCGGCCGCCGGATAGCAACGGATCGGTATCCAGCGGTCATTGGGCCCCCAGTCTCTGCGCCAGGAGTGTCGGTTCATCCGACACTCCCGGCGCAAAGATGGGGGGCCCGCCGGCCGCCGCATACTGATCTAAACATCTGACACTCCAAAAGGGGGGGTGGGGCCGCCCGCGACGCGCTGAACCATGAGACAGGTGAGCAGAGCCTGTCTATGGCGCCTCCCTACTGTGGGCAAAGTTACAGGTTTGCTTCAACTTTAAAAAAATCTTTACCTTGTGAATTTGTTTCTGTGAAAGGCAAACAGCTATGTACTGCTGTTCAATGTTATCCCTTTGCATTCAAGCATTGTCACCTTATAAGCCCCACTCATTTTGTGTAGATATAGTATTTAATTTAGGGGTGTGGTGTACTAGTTTCTATGATGACTTCTAATAATTGTGTACAATTACTGATCTTAGTGCCAGCATTCTATTGTGAGGGCAGTTAAAAACAGTTGTATGCACACTGTCACTGTTTAGCAAAAACACAGAAAAAACAATAAACAATGATAACATAGTATACAGCTAAAAGAACTATACATTATCCTTACTGGGCAGAAAGTTTTGTTTGTTCTATGCAGCTTTAGCAGTCCGTGTGTTATATAAAGAGGCTGCCAGACCATATTCCACCAAACGCTGAGGTGTTTTAATACTGCAAAACATGGGGACAGTAAGTTTTCTTTCTTGTTTTTGGTCACTTTTTTGTAGTTGATAATACATCCAAGCTTTAGGTATAAGCTATCAGAATTGGGCATATATTAGGCGGTGCAGTTTAATAAAGGCATAATTATAGCCCTACGATGCTGAGCTTGGCTGTGCTTGCTGTATTTTATATATATGATTTTTTATGTAATACATTTTTGTGTAATTGTTGCCTTTTTTTTCAATTTTAGATAATCTTCTATGAGGACAGGGACTTCCAAGGGCGTTCCTATGAATGTAACAGTGACAATAGTGACTTACAGTCTTTTTTTAGTCGATGTAATTCAGCTCGAGTGTTAAATGGTTGCTGGGTAATTTACGAGCGCCCAGGTTACACAGGTTTTCAGTATTACCTTAAACGTGGAGACTACCCAGACTATCAAAACTGGATGGGATATAATGACTCAATTAAGTCCTGTCGCATTATTCCTCAGGTATGGTATCAAAATAATCATTCATGTTTTCTATAAATGTTGGCTATTAGATGCTATCAGAATGGGCTAATCCATGGTTTCAGAAATCCAGCTTCACTAATGGTGTACCATTAGAAAGAGGGATCTCTACCATTCCTGAATTGTACCATGCTTTGCAGAAAATTGACAACTGACCATGTGGCATGGTCCTAATCGACAACGTTCTGTATGATATACAAATTGTAGCCCTGCTTTTCAACAAATATTTTAAAAAACTAATTTTGTGTAATATTATCTGGTTTATTTAAAAATGCACTGAAAACAGCTATGATGATGTTCAAAGTCCAACAACCTTTGCCAACCAAATACAAAATCATCTTAAACTTATCTGATTTAGATAACAAACTGTATTGCTTGCTATAGGTCACTGACTGTTATATAATCTGTTATAATCTTTTTTTTCTTTCTACTGCTTTAAACATAGCCTGTCATAAGAAAATTTGTTGGCTGCTAACGCTGACCTCCTGAGCTTTCGAGTTGCCTAACTGTCATACTAATCCTTCTGATACAATACTTAATCACTGACCTGGACGATGGATGCAGATCAAAAGTTGCATTCTTTTTCTGGATCAGAAAGTCAGGAAGCCAGGGGATAAAATTGACAGCTGGGTAAAGCAATGTCATAGAAATGAAGAAATATAGAAGAGTAATGGCAGAAAAAGTCATCCATCGAGTCTGCCATTTATTTATTTATTTTTTACATTTACGTTTGTCTGAGTATGGATCTATGTTTATCCCAAGTAAGTATAGTTACTGTTGACTGGCTCACCACCTCTGCAGGAAGTCTGATCAAAACATTTACTACTCTTTCAGTAAAATTATACTTTCTAAGATTAGTTTTGCATTTCTCCTGCTAGTTTGAGGCCATGTGCCCATGTTCTTGATCTTAGCACCGTACTGAAAATTATGTCCTACTGTACCTTATTCTCAGCTTTCATGTATCTAAAGGGTTAAATTAATCATATCCCCTTTTCCCTTCTTTACTCAAGGCTGTACATATGAAGTTCCTGCAGACTCTTCTTATCTATGTTTTACACCTCAGACCTTTCGCCATTTTGCTGCCCCGTCTCTGTCAGCCTACATATTACTTTTAAAAAGTAAATCTGGAAGTGGGAAGTTTTTCGACTGTCGGCTATATCCTACTGTTAGCAGCAGCAGCACCACCCTCCTTAAGTCTAACACTGCTGTACAAGTCTTTGGGGTCAATTCACTAAACATTATTGCATGTGATATTCAGGTCACGTGACTATTTTCATAGTGATAATGAAATGTTCAGTTCATTAAACTTAAATCTCACATGTGCATTATTTATCGACTGTTCTTTAAAAGCATGCGGTAAATATCGTCTGAAATACATTAAAGTGAATTCACATTAAAAAAAAGTATGTGGTAAATAGCACTTGCATGGGGCAGTCAGTATTTAACATCTGTCAGCCTGTGCAGTGTGCAAGTGTTCATGTGTGCCATTTTTATTGTTATTGCTGTAATTGTGTGCACCCATGTGAAAAAATAATGCCAAAAATAATGCAAAAATAGGTGAAAAATACTGTATGCTTTGCAGAAATATCTAATTAAGTAAATAATGCATAATTAGTTTAGTGCATTGTAAACTCAAGAGATAAATAAAACATGAGTTATTTTACCGTAAAACGTCATGTGGTATTGAACGCTTAGTGAATTGAGCCCTGTATCTTAATTGCTGAAGAGCTTACACTGTGAAATTTGAAAGGTCTAGAGTATGTTCCTAAACAAAATTAATGCATTGCATTTAGTAAAGAATATCAAATATCTGTGAGTTCCATTTTCATGAGATTCCATAACCCTCAAAGCAGCAAGCAGGGGGCTACAGCCAGATGATGATTGGTCATTCATGCCAGTGTACATTTAATCATCTGTAAGTGTTGGGTAAGCTATGGGATGAATTATGGATAGCTAGCATAGTCATAGGAAGAACTTTTCATTTCCATTATTCATGCTTTACATTATCTCATATTGTAGCTAGCTGTCATCATATATAAAATGATGGCATTCAACCAATTAGTATTATTAGACTACATAATGGGTTTAATTCACAAAGATTTAACACAAGGATAACAATCTTTATTTTAGCCATGTGACTATTATTTTCAAATCTCATTGGACTTAGTTGAAAATAACGATCACATTTTTGAAAATAAGTATCCCTATTCTGGTATGTAAGTGTTGTGACTTGAGCCTAATGCAGTTTTATTTTTCTATTTTAGTATGGTGGTTCTTACAGAATCAGGTTGCAAGAAAAAGATAACTTTCAAGGTGAGATGATGGAATTTACTGAAGATTGCCCCCATGTCTTCGAAAAATTCCACCACCATGATATTAATTCCTGCAAGGTGCTTGACGGATACTGGATATTCTATGAGCAGCCCAACTACAGAGGACGCCAGTATTACCTGAGACCTGGAGATTATAGAAGATTTAGTGACTGGGGTGGGTTAAATGGGAGAGTGAGCTCTTTCCGTCGTGTAACAAATTTTATCTAGGGGAATGTGTAGATACAAATAAAAAAATAACCAGCTACATGTTCCAGATTGCTTATTTATTTAATTAAACTGCACAATTTGAAAGTATTTATAGTAGTATTAGCCATCACTTATATTATGATATACTATTGCTAAACCAAAATACATTATATTATGCTAACGTACCCAGGTTACAAATGTTTTATTTTATTCATAGTGAGTGCGAGAGTCACTGACCAGAAACAGGTATACAGAATGTGAACACTTGATCCGCATACATAACGTTAATGTGCACTATAATAACTCAGTACATACTCACTTTTCCTGCTCCTTGCGCAACTGATCTAAGAAATCTACATGTGAAGTCGGCAGGTAAACCGACACTTCCGTAAATGTTGATATATTGGGTCTCCTGCAGCTATCACTGATTCCTCCTGCTGACCTTCATATTGCTATTTGTGCTGTAATCCATAAAGGTCAGCAGGGGGAACCAGTCAGAGCTTTGGGGGAGCTGCAATTGGCAGCATGGGCTGCTACTCTTTTATACACATGTGACTTAATTTAAAACATTTAGAAGCATATTTATACAGCAGTAAATCTGAGATTCACCAAATATTTACTGCAGGTGAATCTTCCAGGCATATGTGTTTTAAATGAAAGTTATTAATTCACCACTAGTAAAAGTTTAGTTAAAGTAGTATTCACTGCTTTATTAATATGCCTCTTAGTACAGAGAACTGCTTTAAATTGAAATTCAGCAGCCAGAGACTTCCGGTTCCGGCGCCTGATGTAGCGGTCGCAGAATGAGGAGCTCCCGCACAGCAAGGGCTAAACCCGATATAAAATCTTACCCCAGCAACACAAACGAATCGTTCTACGCTCCACAACAGCAACTGCACCGCCAGGAGCATGGACAAGTTCCTTGCTAAACGCAGAACCGGCCCGCGCGGCAAAAATACCCCGGTCCATGGCAAACGACCCCAGTCGCAGCCCAAGATGGCCGCCACTCCGGACATGTGGGACATCAGCGCCTCCTCAGAAGAAGACATGTCGGCTCTGTCCGACCATAGCCTAATAGCAGCGGAAGTGGCCAAGTTGCTTCGCCCCACGATACAGGACGCTGTAACAAGGCGGTGGGCAAGGGAATACAATCCCTGCGACAGGATCTGCTACACCAGGCCCAAAGGATCACTGAGGCAGAATCCCGGATTGTGACCCTAGAGGAAGGAGCGGATTCCTCGACATCTCACCTCCAATCCGCTACTAAACAGATCCAACTTCTACTGGATAAGGGAGACGGCCTTGAGAACCGCTCTCGGCGGAACAATATAAGGATTGTAGGCTTACCAGAGTCCTACCGTCCGTCGATGTTAGCATCCATCTGCGCAAATAATATACCGGACCTCCTAGGCCTGGATCCAGGGTGCAAGGTGGAACGTGCGCACCGAGTGGGGCCTCCTAACCAGGAGAGAAAGGGCCCGCGCCCTATAATAGCCCGTTACCTGGACTATACAGATCACTTGGCGGTCATGCAAGCATTTCGCGCCCAAAAAGACCTACAACTGGAGGGACATGGCCTCCTCATCTTTGCAGACTATTCGGCAGAAGTCACCCGGAAACGCAAAGCGTTTAATAGAGTCTGCTCTATCCTACACCAGAAGAGGGTCAGATTTACTCTGGCTTATCCGGTGACTCTTTGCTTCCAAACAGAGGATGGATCTCCTCATGCTTTCCAGGACCCCGAGGCAGCATTCAAATTCGTGGAGAAACTGGACCCGCCAGAAGCATTCCAAGTCGAGTGGAAGGTCTCCTCTCCCCAACGCACCACCACCCCAGCAAGGAAATCAGCGGTCAGGCTACCGATGACGCCCACCGACTCGCCCTGAACCGGGACGCCTGTTATCATCACATATTTACATGTCACAGGTACGTCGGATTTTATTATGCCGGGGGGAGCAGGTGGAGGAAAAAAAAAAGAGAAATAACTATCGGCAATCCTTTCTGCTCCTTTGTGGGAATGGGCACTAAAGGCGCGAAACAACTGATCGATACAAATCCTCCTCGCCCCCATCCTTTTTTCTTTTTGGATGGGAACGAACTCCCTTACTCCAGGTGATAGGAAGCGACACTACCGTCATCAAGCGATAGTCATTGTTATCACAGGTGGTCCTGCATAGTGTTGTACAATTTGATGGTGCAGGCGGTACACCGAAACAATCAAATCTACAGCTACATTACCAGTACAAGAAATCTGATAACAATTATTCCCACGTCAGGACTGAGATCAGGGGAAATTTGCAAACCACCAAAACGTTCCCAGGGTTTATGCCCATTGACTAGCGGAAGCACTTTAGCTCACTCTGTAGAGCTATAGAAGGAAAAAAGCGAAGTCACGAAATGTGTATCACTATTTTATTGGTTTATGTTTTTTTTGTTGGTTGTTTGGTTCTTTCGAAACCCAAGGTTATGGTCCTGTTGACCGACGACCGCTGACCGCTACAGTCAGAATTGGTACATATATGTCTAATAGGTTCTCAACGCTAACAGTTAATAAGACTCCATGCTACGTTTTTGTGATCTTGGTATATGAGGCACTATGGGCTCATGAGTCAACACTACTAGGGGGGCGAGATTCATTCTACTTAGTGAATATGATCATTCCTATCTCTTTGTTAAGGTCTATGATATTAACTTTGTACATGTTTCCCTGTGATTTCTTACAGTTACCCCGCAATCTAACATGAGAGTGATCTCCTGGAATGTCAATGGCTTAAGATCCCCGGCCAAACGCATTATGGTCCTCCGCCATCTTAAAAAGCTGAAAGCGGACATAGTGCTGCTACAGGAAACCCATCTATCCCAGGAGGATATAGGTAGAATGCAGAGAATGTGGGTAGGAGAAATCATCAGTTCCCCTGCAGTGGGAAGAAGGGCAGGAGTAGCTATATTGTTCAATAAATCGTTAAATTACAAAGTGGATCAGGTAGAAACAGACCAATGAGGGCGCAGATTGAGGGTTAAACTTAGGATACATAACAAAATAATATCATTATACAATGTATACTTTCCGAATGCACCGACAGCCGCCTTCTTCCAGGAGATCACTTCATGGATAATACAAGATGATAATCCGCATAAACTTATAGGGGGAGATTTTAATTCTGTCATGGTTCTGAAGGAGGATAGAACGGGCAAAGCAAAACTCAACATGGGCTCAGAATCCCTCCATCATACTCCTTTACAAGACCTGTCAAACAATGTCAATCTCATGGATGTCTGGAGGGTCAGGAATCCCATGGAACGTGAGTAAACCCATTATTCTTCAGCCCACGCCTCCTTTGCCAGGCTGGACTACTTCTTGGCAACGGAGACAGTGGACTCTCTAGTCACTGACACAACATGTATCCTATGGCCATATCGGATCACGCACCAATACTAGTCCAGCTACAACTTTCCCCTCCAAGGGGCGATTTTTTTATATGGCGTTTCCCCTCGCATTTATATGCGGAAACGTCATTTAAAAATATGCTGGTGGAAGCTTGGAGAGAGTATGAATCTTTTAACAACGCACACACAGACAACCCCAATTTATATTGGGAAAACGCAAAGGTGGTGCTAATGGGGAGAATTATGGCATACGTAGCCACCAGAAAGAGGAAAGCCAGGGCACACTTTTCTTAAAGCCAGTTCATCTCTTCGCCTAGCGCAGATACAATACTCATTATCTGGCTCTGAAGAACATAGGGAAGCGTCGACCAAAGCAAAGCTAGACTTTGAATGGTGTAACACCCAACAACATCTGTACTATCACTCCCACTCTAAATTAACATTTCACAAATTCGGGAATAAATCTGGAAAAATGATGGCTAACCTGGTAAGGCAACGCGCTTCCAGGTTACACATACCTTCTATACGGTCAGAAGAGGGCACTACTACTTCCGACCAGAAACACATTAATCAAATATTTGCTCCAGTTAGAAAAACTAGACGCAGAAATGCTATTGACAGATAATAAGAAAACCGCTTCCTTTTATGACAGGTGGCTACCGTTTATCAACATAATCTTCACGAAAGAGGAAAAAGATACGTTTCTATCTCTGTTTAAATATACAGCGAGTGCCATATTTGAACAGCTAACTGACACGAAAGATGGTCAAAATTAGCGAAAATTATGCTCTCACCTTTTAACATGATGGTAATCAATAGTAGTGATAGGTGATCATAGTAAGTTAGCTGTATGTACTTGATCTATTGTGTCAAAAAATATGTACGATTGACTGTTATTGCCTTTAATTGAAAAATAAAAATGTTTTGGAAAAAAAAAAAGAAATTCAGCAGCCTTATGGCACCAGGTCTTAGCAAAAAAAGACTTACTGTATAACTTCAGTAAATTTCTTCTGGTCACAAGGTACTGCCCAGCCTGTACAAAGCCATGTTCTGCCTGCACTCTGTCTGCATTGGCAATGGGCAGGTGTATATAATTTTAAATGTATGAATCACAAAATTCCTGACTAACTATGAACTATGCTGACCTCAAAACTGTACAGTTGACATCACATCTCCCTAATCTTTGTCAAAAAGGACAGAGTGCAGGAAAAATGATGCTTTGATTCAGCCAGGGAAAAGCTGCAGTGCCACCATAGTTTGGGCTGATTTACTAAAAAGTACATAACATTTTTATATGTAAAGCCTGGTGTCATTTAGCTATTTAAAGCCCCCAAAAATAAACTTACAGGCAAAGCCAACCTACCTATTCTTTCAGAACAGATCTCTTTTAAATGTGTTATAACAAATAATTTGATACACAGTTTATTATTATTATTAATAATAATAATAGCAGTTTAGACTGTGCATTACTTCACTGGAGCCTGCCAGTGTTTTTTTTTTTGGTATCTGATTAATGCCATGGGCACGAGTAGACTTAGGGGCAGAAGAAAAGAACGGTAGTAGTTTTTGGAAAGAAAGTGGGGTACAATAGCAAGCAGTGATAATCAGAAAGATGTACTGCCAATACAGGGAAAAGCCAAAGCATGCAGTGGTGGGCACATGGGAAAAGAGATACAAGTCCAATGTTGGGCATACAGAAGGCGAGATGATGGGCAGAGTTAGTTGACATTGACAGGTTGTGGATGCAGGGCAGAAAAGACAAACAGAGGAACAACAAAATCTAAGCTACTGATTTAAAGAAATTTCCATGCTCTTGTCAGGCATTTTCAGACAATGGTCATTTGGGGCATACCAAAATGTTAGTGGATCAGTTACAAAAAAACATGGTGGATGGTAGTAGATATTGTCAGTAACACTACAGAGAACTTCAAAAATTATTGAAAGTTAATAAATGGAAGTTGTATGCTAACAGACAGCAGAACACAGTTGCTAACCAGACACTGGAAGAGGGCCAGAGTTTCGGGTTCTTTATTATGATTACAAACAGGAACTTCTGCAATATTTTGTGTCACTGGTACACTGGTATACACAGATATTCATACTTAGCAGGTTAATATGTTTCTGTTAGTTGTATTTTTAAAATATGCATACACTGTAAAAAGTATATAAATAGCAGTTACGCTTCTGTTTAGGTCTACTCTCTATGTTCTCTATATTTCTTTATTCAACTCTGGAGCTAATGGCACTCTTGGAATATTTCATTGATTGACATTTTCATTGATGATTTTATTACAGAAAATTATGCCAAACCTTTGGGTTGTACTTTGCTCTAGCATTTTTTCTAAAAAAGGGAAAGTTTCAGAGGAGCCTGACGAATGGCAAGACCCAACAGGAAAGGTCAAGATCTGCCTGTAGTATTGTAATATTGTAATGGATTTTTAGTTATACTATCTACCTAGTTATGGGCAATCCTCACTGCTGCACTCATTCATATGTAACTTTCTGCCCCAAATGTCATTAATTGCTTGTGAACCCAATTGGGTAGGTTCATCAAGTCAGGATCAGGATCAGGCACAACTATAGCCACCTTTGTGATCTCATCTGCCAATCTGTAATTCTCAAAGTGGGAACAAGGGACACATGTGCATGAACATACCACACTCTTATGGTGCAGGACTGGGTTTCTTTCCAGATGAAGTCCCAAACATCCTTGCATCCCCACACTGCTTTTCTATTAATCATCTAGTCACTGGGCCTCCATGTGGACATCCAAATTGTTAGTCCTTAAATAGACTGCCCAGCTGTCAGTGTAGATATTACCATAGGAAGAATACTCCGGAAGAGCGATTAGCATGGCTTTCAACTCAACTTCAACTGCATGCTGACTGGATGCTCTCATTCTCCTGCAAGTCTACTGACACCCAGATGAAATCACTTTGGCCAAATCATCAGTGTACCATGCTAACTCTTACCTTCTGAATGTAACTCAAAATGTGAAGCCTCTTGAATGCAGGATGGCTGCAGTACATGAATTTCTTTGTTTGGCTACGTGCTGGTAAAGGTGACAATCCATTCCAGTTGCTTTGAGATGTCTCTCTTATCCCCACCTGCCATACACCATCACTCATGAAGATACCACTTCCTCTTCATCAGTGTCTGATTATGAGCTACAGTTACCCTAGTGGTCATCCATCTCATCTCCATCTTGCTACTGGCAATTCAGTATGGATGGTGACAGGGTTTTTTCCTCTAATGGTTTCTTCCTTGTTAAATGCTGTATAGGCCCCATACAGATACTTCTCTAGGGACATGTCTGTCTCCCTGTCAATTGCTTGGACCAAAACCCAATGGGTATTTCCCGCTGACCTTTATTTTCATTTGACTGCCATAGACTCCAGGATATGGTACTACCATGTTCCACTACATCCAGCTGGAATGGCATCATTGGTCTTACTTATGCCAAGTGCTGCAAAATGGTTTCTTTAGCAGGATGGAATATGGCCTGTTGTTCCTGGTACATTGTCTGTGGGCCTCAGGATCAGTCCAATATGTGATATGAACTACCTCCAGAATCCAATGACTCCAATGAGTTGCTGTGTCTCTCTTTTGGTAGTAGGGGGCCCTAGAATAGAGTACATAACTGTCTTTGGAATTTTCATATGTGGCCAAATCCACATCTTTCCCAGGAATTTCACCTACTTGGCAGGTCCTCCTACTTTTAAATGGTCCACCTACATTTGTCTTCTGAGGACAACTATCCTGGTTTTCTCTGCACCCTCCTGTCTTCTATCCTGCCTTCCGTTTCTTCTCTGTCCTCTCTGTCCTTTTTTGATAACTTTCCTATTGAATGGCCTTAATTTTATATATATTGCCCTGGCACAAAGAGCTATATTCCAGGTCACTAGGATTAGCATATACTCAGACTATCCCATCTCTCACAAGGTCTTACAATGAAAATCAAAGTTATATTAAAGTCAAAAGGGTTTTAAGCTATTTCAAATGCTGATAAAATCACTTACAACAGATGCTGTTCCTTGATGTTTACACGCTCTTAGTCTCCTGCAGAATCAGCTGGTCTTGTAAGCACTGGCCCTGACATCCTGGTTTAGGGGGCTTCTTTCCCTTGCAGAGTCCCATGGAGCCAACCTTCTGTGTGCTAGAAAGCTGGGTGTGTCTACACAAACACACAGGTACAGCAAGGTAAACCATTCCCCTGCTTCCTGCTTCTCTGTCCTCCCTTCTCCCTAGTACAGTGATGGCGAACCTTGGCACTCCAGCTGTTTTGGAACTACAAGTCCCATGAGGCATTGCAAGGCTCTGACAGCCACAGACATAACTCCCAGAGGCAGATGCATGTTGGGATATGTAGTTTTGGCACAGCTGGAGTGCCAAGGTTCGCCACCACTGCCCTAGTACATGGACTGCTGCTGAAGACTGTGCTGTCCCTTGTTATCTTGTATTCAACATGAAGTCCAGGGAAGCAAAGCTTACCTATTCAATATACATATTTTCTAATATTACATTTATTTACATTTTTCTCCATTAATTGATGGGATACTATGCTTAAGATTAAAGACAAATAAATATGTATAAGAATGAGAATAATTTCTGCTAATCTTTTTGTCACAAATGTCCTGTATATAAATAGTTTAACCGTGCAAATCATAAATCATACAGTATTAGAAATGCATTCACTGTATATTCCTCTCCTGCTTTATGTTACTGCTTTGGTGTCTGGCTCAATGCATTCAGGGCAGGAATTAAACTTTGTCAGCACAAGTCTAAGTCCAGCATTCAAACAGCAGAGTATACAGTTTCTTTATTACACTATACAGCATCTATTCTAATGCAAATTCTGTAGGTTACACACAAATTTAAAAAAAAAACGATATAAAGGAAGACCAAGTTTGTTTGTTACACTTTGGTTTAGGGTACCTTCTGTTAATCACCATGGGAAAGGTAAGTTATGGGGACTAAAATCAATAACTTTATATAGCCGTTCAACTTGTATAGTGTTAGTTATATTTAGTAAATGCTGGTATGCCAATTCTTTCATTCGGATACCGCAGCCTAGAACTTGTAGTTAATATAATGGAAAACATTTTTATGAACAAAATATGAATATATTTTACATATTACATGCAAATCTTATTTGCTAGCAGATTTGTAAACAATTGTCTAATGTAGCCCTCACTGCACACCCTTCTCTTGCATGTCCTTTGCAGTAAAACAGATGGTTATCTAATGTTTAGGTTCAAGAATCTAGCAAGTCTTCAGCATCATAAAATACAGGCAGTCCCTGGGTTACGAACAAGATAGGGACTGTAGGTTTGTTCTTAAGTTGAATTTGTATTTAAGTTGGAACAGGTAAATTTTTTAAGTGTAACTCCATCCCCCAATTTTTTATTGTTTTGGATAGCATAGGGAAGGGTTTACCCCTTGTAAAGTTTGTTTTTCTGTGTGTGCCCCTGTTCAGAACATTTCACCTCACTTTCCGTGCATGTGACAATTGGATTTTGAAAATGTTGGGTTGTCGTGGAAACAAGGATTGGTGATAAAGCTTCAGTGGAGACACCTTTTTCCTATGATCACTCTTACAGGATTGAATTTGCCTTCCTTGTTGTCTCAAGGACAGGAAGTGAGATTAAATCCTCTCGTGTCACTAATCTACTAACTGACATATCAGTCTGGATGTCACAACATTTCTTAAAGCTCAATCTTTCAAAAACTGAGCTCTTGATATTTCCTCCTACCCGTGCACCTTCCCCCAACATTTCAGTTGAGATTGATAACACAACTATCCACCCCTCCTCCAATGCCAGGGTCCTAGGTGTCATCGGATGTATGTAACTTCTGGGACTGCCTGTATGTATAAAAAGGACATAAACATATGCCCTGAAATGATGCTTTCATTACATACAGTAAAGCAATGGGATTTGAGACTTCTCTGTGGTGTTTGCAACTTCCTAAAACTTGTCATTTGCAAGCTAGGTACTGTACTACACCAGATGTACATAAGCTATGCAAATCAAGTTTCCGTTTAGACCCAGTTTGCAATATTATTATTTTTACCAAATGTTTATGGTAACTGATAGCCTTATGTTACGTGTTACTATGTCTCAGTTTTTGTATGTCCTTTTACAGTCAGGCAAACTGCTAATTTTACTAAAGACGTAGCACATTTTTCAGTATCATACAGTGACACTAAACTCAGGAGTTAAATCTTAAAAACGCATTTAAGTACCTTAACTGTTAACAAAAATGTACCTTATTTCTGAATCACTCAGCTGTGGATCCTCAAATCATCTCTAAATTTGTGCTGACATGGTCCTTCCTTTTGGACGGTGGCTACTTTTGTTTCACATGGTCTCTGTGTGTGTTGTAAGTAGCCACTGCTTAAAGCTCACTCCCCTGATAGAGTACAATCTCATGTTTAGTTTACTAATTTTACTAATTCCTTCCTTTTGGACGGTGGCTACTTTTGTTTCACATGGTCTCTGTGTGTGTTGTAAGTAGCCACTGCTTAAAGCTCACTCCCCTGATAGAGTACAATCTCATGTTTAGTTTACTAATTTGTATTGAGGCTATAGTCCATCACCGGAGTGACCTTGAAGTGGCTACTTTACACCACACACAGGGACTATGGGGGAAAAAAGTAGCCACCCACCAGGTGGAAATGTCAGCACAAAATCAGAGATGATTTGAGGATCTACAGCCAAGTGATACACAAGCTACATTACATTTCTGTTAATTGTTAAGGTACTTGAATGCATTTTTAATATTTAACTCCTGAGTTTAGTGTCACTTTAAATAAAATCTGTATACATTTTCTGTAGGTAGATGTTAGGGAAGTAAGTGAAACACATTACTAACAATTGCTTCTGTGGATCCCTTGCAAGATATGTTGGTTGAGAAGCTTCACTTTCTATGCTGTGCACCAACAGTCTACAATGCATGGTTTGCATTGTAGACTTATGGGGCCCAACTAATCTAGAATCTAGAATAGATTGCATAAACACTGGACACTGCTGGGCCATAGTTGCAGAGCATGTAGAGGGAAGTTGGTATATTTTGCAAAATATACAATGGATGTAAGATTACTTTGCATGTTCCTACTTAACATCTATCTGTAAAATCTTGTATTAGTGTTACTCCTGAACTTGTAGGTACCAGGGTTGCATGCTGTGATGCTTCTTACTGAATATGTACAGTTTCACGTCTTTTATATTTTACCAAAAAATTGGGTAATAATAAATGTTTTATCATTTAATATAGGGGAAACTTTATTTTTTTAAATTTCGGTGATTTTTCTACAAAAAAAATAAAAACCCCAGTGGTGAATAAATACAACCAAAAGAAAGCTCTATCTGTCCCCAAAAAAGGGTATAAAATTCATTTCAGTACAGCGCTGCATGACGGACTAAATGTCAGTCAAAGTACCGCAGCGCTGAATACTGAAAAATGGCCTGGATGGGAAGGGGGTTTAACACCGCGGATGTCAACTGGTTAACTGCCTACAGATACTATAGAAATAAGAAATCACAAGTGAAAAGTAGCTATGTTGAATTAGAATTAGTTTGGTGTTAATTTAAGTGACAAGACTCACAGCCAGAGGGTATTATAGTACCTATATAGACAAAAGATGATGTATTTACATGCAAAGGAAACAAACACTGTATCTGTATTTGATAGTTATACCTATCATACAATTTTAAAAGGTGATATTTTCTGATGCACATTCTAAGATTAGGTATTTTGCTTCTATTTCAGATAATCTTCTATGAGGACAGAAACTTCCACGGTCGCTCCTATGAGTGCAGCTCTGACTGTTCTGAGCTAAACTCCTTTTTTAGCCGCTGCAACTCCATCCGTGTGGAGAATGGAAACTGGATGCTCTATGAACATCCCAACTACAGGGGAAACCAATATTTCCTGAAAAGGGGAGAGTATCCTGACTTCTCTCACTGGACAAGTCACAATGACTCCATTAGATCTTGTCGCATTATTCCACAGGTACATTTTGTATTAAACTATACACCAGGTGGTTGGCCAGTGCTAAATACAGTTTTGTTTTACACTATTACATACAGCTTTTTTCTGTCCTTTTTCATCATTTTGCTTCCAAGTATTTCAGTATCTTTCTTTTCACATCTCACGTATGAAATTGGAAAAAGGAAAGTATGTTACATCCTTATCTAAATATGATTTCTATGCAGTACAGGTGAGAAGATGAATGCCATAAAAATCCTGATGAAGGGGGTATTTTAGGACTCCAAAAACCCTTGTACCTTGAAATTAAAACCCTTGTACCTACATTAAATAGAGATGTATCCTTGGCCTTGGGGCAGGAGGGAGTAGAGGGGCAGCAGGGGTGTGGAATTCCTATACCCCTATGCCCAGGACATGCAGTTCCAGGCGCCAGATGGATAGTTGTTTTCTACATTTAGCCCTGCTTAGCCTTGCAGGCAGAGATACATGTACAGCGAGGAAGCCACCGCTTGTTTTGTACAAGTGATCTAGGTGATTTCGCTGAGATCAATTGTATGCAGCCTGCAGAGGGGTTGGGGGGTAGGGGGGGGACATTGAGGAACCTGGCCTTGGGGCAGCAGAGAGAGTAAATCCAGCCCTGGATGTATCTGGACTATTAAGTGGAGTGTGGCACTTCAGTTCACAATGCTCCAAAAATTATGAGATGGAGAGAACACAGGTGAATGGCACTATCCTATTTATGCAAGAACATATGTAAAATCTTAATTTGTTTGTACTCCGTTAACATCTAGTGCCTCCTAACTTTTTCAAGAAAAAACAAAAACATGACATTCTCATTTGGGTCTGCCAATCTCTTCTCCAATATGAACCATGTTTGATAATACTATTCACCACTTTTGCCACGCCAATTTTAAGTATTATCCTTATATACGAAAGAGAACAGAACAGTGCAGTGCAAATCAGTACACATCTTCATTTCAAAAGTGATACAAATATATTTTTTGAACAAGCATGTTTTCAACATCCTTCAAACCAGCATAAACTTGAAAATGTTGTTTACCTTAGTCCCAAAAATGACTGATTAATCCTATGCTAAAAGCTCTTGACACCCACATACTCAGTCCATAAGTAGTATTGAATTCACTTTTAATATGTGACTCCTTGTTGACATGGGGGGCTGTACTTGTACTGATCTAAATACTAAAATATATCCTAATTCTCTTCAGCACCAGGGCACATTCAGGATCAGGATCTATGAGAAGGAAGACTTCAATGGAGCAATGCTGGAATTTACAGAAGATTGTGCACATGTACATGAAGAGTTCAGACATCATGATATTTATTCCTGCAATGTTCTGGAAGGCCACTGGATTTTCTATGAAGAACCCAACTATAGGGGGCGCCAGCATTATCTGAGATCTGGAGAGTACAGGAGATACTCTGACTGGGGTGCAACTAACTCCAGAGTTGGCTCTTTCAGAAGAGTTCAGGAATTCTATTAAAGAAACACATTACTCTGCACTTTGGCCTTAAATAAAGTATTTAAACATGAACACATCAGTTGTAAAGTTCATTTGATATTTGCTAGATAAAAATTAAATAAAGTAAAATGAAAACAATTTTAGATTCAAAATAAACAGTTGTACACTACATATGATTTAATTAAAGAGAAATAAGCAATTTTTTCCATCAATGAAACATTACTCACAAAACTATATAAACATATTAAAGTAACTTGTACACATACAACTACTGTTCTCAAATTGCCCGAGAAGAAAACTGTTTGCATTACCAGTGATAATACTTTATTGTTCTATCCTATGATATGAAATGACTGTTAGGATATGGAATTCATTGTTGCATTTCCTCACATCTCTCTTTTTGTTAGTCCAACCATAAAATACGCTACCCAAAGATTGACATCTCCAAAAAACTTAAACTGGTACAGTTCAATAAGCAGCAAACAATCTTTACTGCATTAAAACTTCTACACAGGAGCTTGAAAGCTTTGAAACCTATACTGACTATTTTGTAAAGCAGTGATAAACATACATCAGTACATTTAAAACCCCTAAAAGCCCTTATATTTCCTGGATTCTATATAATTGACAGGTGTTTATACCAAAAGTAAGGAATGATTAAATTATAGGAGATCTAGTATTAATATCCCTAGATTTTCAATATATGAGGTAATAATGTGAGAAAGAGTATTGGTATAAAGCTACATAGCTATGTATAGCTAGAATATAAGTACTGTATATGCTAGTGAAGCATGTTCAGCTTGGGACAGGCTCAGCTCACTGCCAGTCTCTTTACAATCAATGCCTCTTGCTTACTGGTTCCATTGTTTAATGAGGCACCTTTTTCACAGTTTCTATCATTGGTTGCATACTAAGGTCTGTGCCACGCTCTTTTAACTTGTGCTAATGCAAGGGTCCAGCAGCTGAGGCATATGCCATTGGCCACCTGCCAGGAGGCCAGGAATTATTTGTATTTTCCTCCAAAAGGAATGCCTTCCACTAAGTTTTGGCAATGTACTGATGGCAGGAGCACAGGGCTCAACTTTTTATGTCTCCTGCCTAGGCCCAGAAAGGAATATCTCCCTGCCTCCCAATATAATACCCCCACATCCCTGGACACAACCACTCCCAGTACAAACTTCCCCCTTCTTCCCAGAAATGTACTGATCAGATCTTGGAGTTGCATTGCATCTGTTGGTCAGTGACATAGATTCTAACATCATGACCACCGGCATTTTTTTCTTCAACATATCCTTTTTGCAGCTGCCAGTTTTTGTTCTTGACTGCCGGCCCACCTTTAGCACAAAGCAGGGTAAAGTGCTCGGAAACTCCTTCTTACATCTGTGCTACAAGTCTGATGAGCAGGGGAGCAGGCAGTGGGCCGGTAGAAAAGAAGCAAGCAGCTGCATGTTGAATACAAAAACATGGACGAACACTACGATGGGACTAATCGGCGCATTGGGGCAAGTGTCCCAAGTGTTCAGTGCTTGCAATATTCTTGATTGTGACTGGGAGTGAAGGCAGTGATGTATTACTGAAGAGAAAAAAAGAGGGCTGTAAAGTTGGTTATTCGTCATATATCTATTCATTCATCAAAGATTATATTATATTAGCTATTAATTTACTATTATGCTGCTTCAAAATAGAGTTTGCTGTTGCGATGTGAGGTGGGTGATATAGAGGGCAATTGCTGCATGATATATATTTTAAGCAGCTGTAGTGTAATATGATGCGCTGCTGTGCAGTATTCACAGCTCTTCCAATAAAGTGTTTGATGAACTATTTCTCAACCAGTACCAAGAGTATTCCAAAACATTTAAGGCTTTTTTGCTTGCTCTACAAAATTAATTAGGTACTAGGCTATATAAATATATATAATACAAAGATGGGCAGCCGCACCCATAATTTTCTGCAACACACTTCTTACACCACAGTTACTGTTTCTCTGATGCTGGTGGGTAAGTGCTTTCTAAGGATCCTATAATTGCCCCTGCAGTAAACAGTACGACCCACTGAAATGTGCCTCTGTTCTCTTCCCATGGTGTCAGGGCATCACTCCAGGAACATTGTACAGTTCTGCCGTTTTGTAATATGACACTGCTGTGGCTTTAGTTTTATTGAATGCTGTCTATTCATGCTTTCTAACTGTTGTCTTAGGCAGAGAGGGGACGTCTATAGACATGAAATTATCAGAAAGGGCCATAGTTGATAAATGTAATCTCATGTCTATGAGTATCTATATATTAAAGACAAGTTCTTTAGTTAACTGAAATGCTAAAGGATTTCATAAGAGTCTAAAGAACAGATGTATCATGTACCTGGTGGAGGACCGATTAGCTGAGGAGGCCTCCCTTGCGGCTCTTGTCTCACACACCTGGATGTGGAAACAGGCAACGAGTAGACAGAGAGAAGCACAGGTGCCAAAGTGTTCCGATACGGTGCCTGGTAGAGGTCAGGGGCAGGCAGCAATCAGTTGAAGTCAGCAGCAATCTGGGTCGAGGTAACAGGCAACAGATAAGCAGGAACACAGGAACACAAGCACAAGCTGAAAGACCGTTTAGCACTGACCCATTGGGCCAGCTGGTTTAAATAGGAACATATATTAGATGGTCGTTAGTCATTTCCTGTGTGCCACTGCATCACTTCCTGTGTGCCACTGTGTCACTTCCTATGTGAAACATTCCGTTGTGAGCGCATGCGCGCTAATGCATGTTTTCCAGCAACCAGGAAGATTGGGGCCCCCCCGCATGCGTAGTAGCGCGTGAGCTTCTGGCTATGGCCTTACAAGACGGCTAAAACATTTAGCTTAAGGAGATGTTCTTTGAATTGCTGACAAGAAAAAATGTATAATGTCATCATAATGTCTAAAGCTTGCCACAGTCATTGCAGAAAGATCAGTTGTAACTGAATAACTATTCACCAGGGGTTTGTTCATAAGATTGCTTCTGCAGGTAATGCCAGACAATATAGGCTTATGATGCTAAACCTATATAACAATCGCTGATGTATAATCTGATTTGAAATGGAAAGGAAATGTTGTTTCTTCAAATCTCTGATGAATCATAATAGGAAAGCGTATCTGAACCCAAAAACAAAAATGTATTATTCTGCAGCTTATCAGTACTTAGATGTACTGGCTGCATTAGTTTTCTTTTTCCAGGCCAAGAACTTTTTAGCAAGTACAGAAAATACCTGTTAAGCTTGCCAGAATTGGAGTGTCCTTTTCATTTCCTACACACATTTGAAGTCCAATCTGTGTGACCATTGCTGCCTCCATAGATACAGTGGAGAGGTGAATGTAGTTGCGAAGAGATTGGAAATGTGTTAATCGCAGCATTAGAAAGTAAATGTGAAGTGGAACAAAAAACTTAAGATAAGAAAATGAATGCAGCCACTACAGCTAAGGACTGGTAATTACATTTTTGTTTTTTGGTTTAGGTATACTTTAATGAATGTTCCTTCTCAAAGTGTCATTGCTGTGCTATGTTTAACTAGTGAGTGCCTAAACAAACATTTACTGCTGAGAAACTAAATTTTTCCATAAATGTTATACAAGAGAATGTTGACTTTTCCTTCCCCTAAAGATCTGCAGAAGTAAAAATTAAATTAAAAAAATCTGACATTCCATTTACACTCCCACTGCTGAACATTTTTAAAAAAACAACCAGGCCTATCAACTTTTTTTTTTTAGGCGATATGAACTGGCCATTGACTTTAAAGCATTAATTTGAAAAGCAACATTTATTCTTTAGTCTAACAAAAGTGTCAACATTATTGGCTAACTTTCTTTTAAACTTTTGGCTAAATTGAGTGGGATATTATGAATGTCCATAGATAGACTGATTTTTTAAAAAAAGACTCAGTGAAAGTTCAACAAATATACAATCGAAGAGTAATCACAACATTCTAGGAACAAAACAATCCATGGCAATAATAGTGGGAGGAAGTGCCCACAATCATAAAAAACCATCAATCTGTCTAAAATGATAAAATCTGAAACTGCTGCACATAGCTGCATTATGGTTGAAAGCCAACCATTTTGATGTGCAAAGCTCCACACTGTCTGCTAATGTTTAAACGTTGCTTACCCCTCCGGCCTCCCACATTCTTATTGGATAGTCATGTAGGCACTCATATGCTAATAGCAATGTGTGGGAGGCGGGAGGGAGCTTTTCAACATTACCAAAAAGTATCAGTGCTTTGCCTCTCAGAATGGACTGCAATTCGCTCATAACAGTGGGAGCTGCAAGCTATCATCATAGAGTTGATTTATTTTACTTATGTTACTGTGCTACAGTCCATGACTGCTTAGGTTTTGAAACAAACACTCCCTTTTTATTGAATTAAGTTGTTAGCCTTATGTTCAACCCCAGCTTTGATGACCAGTCTATCCTTGTTTTTGTCTGGGTCATCACTAGAGATCCTATAACCATGGATGACTTTAGTAATAGCTAAGCTACCATTTATATAGTTTCCAGAGTCACTTGAACAGGAAAACCACACCAGTACATTACATTTGTTTTATTACATTAAACAATTGTAAAAAAAAAAAAAGTTACTATCAATTATTCACCTATGATAAAAGCATTAACTATATTTTTGTCAAATCTGTTGAAATATCATTCCATTTATAAAATGGGTGTTAGTCAACTTATTTTCAAGTAAGATGTTCTGTGGCTTCTTTTCTGTTGATGAACAACACATTTTAATGTTTTCAGTTTGTACATGAGATGACTAGACGTTTTTTGGAGACATTTCTATGTTCATGTGAGCCACAGACGGGACAGATTTTGGTGAAGAAAGCAATTCCACATGTTAAAAAACCATGTCACAGTTCAGCATTGGAATC